TTTTCCTGCAGGAATTGTGCTGCGTCTGAAAAAAATTCCTGTTGTCGGTAATTTTTTGCGTTTCAGCTGGCGTCACAAGTTTGGCGTAGATGCACTTTGCGAAGTGCTTTCGTCAATAAGTATGCTACGCTGCTTTATGATGCATCTTTTGTTGCTTTTTTGATGTTCAAACTTTGGAATATATATGGAATTATCAGAAAAATGTAGCCGTACGCTGACGTAAAGCTGCAGTATTGCTTTTTAACTTAACTGCTCTGATGTTTCCACCTGTTGTCTCGGGCAGGGCGCATGTTCATACTGACTATTGTTTAGACGCTGCTGTTGATGTTGGTTTGTCTTTATTCGTGCTGCATCTACGATCCACATTTGGTGCTGAATGCCAGCTATTAAAATTCATGATGATACTCCGTGCATTTTGCCATCAGATAATATGAACGAATGAATTATTTTATGACTTGAATGTGCCAAATATGACCGCAAGTTTGTATCTGATCCACTTTCAGTTAATCGTTGCGTGTTCAAAAAATGACGTTTATCAGAAACGTTTTGCATTGTCCAAGTCGCTGTTGATCGCAATGATTAAAGTAATTCTGAGATTTTTTTGCCCTGAAACTATCAGCGTTGTTTTGCTTAAAGGTCGGTATGCGGTTCTGAAAAAAGCTGTGATACCGCTCTCTTGTTTATATCTAGAACCACTGAAGCATCACTTTATGGAATAGACTCACATGAAGGCTGGGGTGTTCGGTCGGTAGATGGTCGGAGTCAGAACCAGATGGTCCCGAGTTCAAGCTCCGGTTAGGTCACTCACATTAACTCCTTTTGAGATTGATAATTGAGTACCACTATGTGGAAGAAACAGAAACTCCACACTTTGCTTTCCACACAAAGCTGCTGTCGACTCTACTTTCATAATAAGGCACAGCTCGCAGATGGCATGTAAATAGATATCAACACCCCACGCCATTAACTTAATAAAAAGGTCTCCATAATTATTGCCATTACGGGAGTATAGGGAAGATCGACATTCCAGTTGGTAAGTAATGGAGCGTTTCTTTTTCCTTCTTTCTTTATCCGGGTAAAATATCGTTAAAAGGAAACTGAGGGTGGCATTCTTTATTACTTATGAATGTAGGTGACCAAATCTGGTTAAACAAGATCCAGTCAACAACTGCACCTGCCATAACCGCGACTTTCAGCTTTCTAATTTATCATATTGTAAATTCGTTAGAAAAATTTATCTTCTGTCAATCAGCGTTCCCAAGTTTGTTTTTATAACACGGCTGCGAATGCCTTTCCAAATCTTTCATTTTCTGCGTTGACAATGTCCTTCGTTTACCTCGTAATAGGAGCGAAAACCACATTCGACCAGCATTAAATCAATACAATAATCGTTTAAAGTTATGGCAGTACCTGCTGGACTCCTGTTGTTGATTAGTGTTCTGTTTTGTCAAAATTGATTGAATTTTATTCGATTAGTTCTTGCTAGTTAATTTTAAGGATAAAGAAAACAAGGAAAAGAAAAATTTTAACCATCGGGATATCGGTCACTCCACTTTCATGACATGACCATTTCTGGCGACCTTCTTGTCCAGAATTTAATGGTCTGGTGCCTATGTCTATTTTCATACCATCCTTCAACAGTACCTATTTTAAAAGTATAGTCGACAGCAGTTATGTGATCAGCATAGTATGTGGTTTCTGTTTCCTTCCCACATGATGGTAACTCGTTTATTAACTTTTGAAAGGCTCTAAGAAGGTCGAGTGTTCTTCGTTGGGAGTTTGAATCCCGGACTCCTCTCAGTCTGATGTTCTGCCGACTTAGTAAACCTAGCTTAAGAATGCGAATGTCTAAAACACGTGATAAACAGTTAAATTGCAAACAAGGCAAAATATTGGTTTATCGGATGACTGACACCCGCTGAGTTTCGCTCCTGACTCGTAAACGTGTTTCATTGCAACCCCGCAGTTTTTTTCTTCTTATCTTCGTCAGCAGCGGCTGGAGCGAATCGATCTAATAGGTCATGTTTCGGCCTACGTTGCTGTTGTGGTCTACTTTAGTAGTTATGAATTGTTCGGTTATTATCGCCTACCTGAAGCGCTTGTTCAGTCAGTTTGTTTCATTGATGATGCTGGTACATTCGAGCATGTACTTACTTCTGGGGGGTACAGGTTTTTGTTTCCAGTCTTTTGCTGTATGAACCCGAACTTCTTTTACATTGGACTTGAATGTGGCTTCGTTTCCATCCAGGGTGCTAGAAGCTTCTTTTAAACGTGTTCCTGTGTTCGTCGGCCATCAGCCTACTACTCCTACTGTGCGTCGCATTTGCCATTTCCTCCATCTCTACAAGCCGCTTTGGAAAAGACGGAAGATCAATCTGAAATGCCGAGTTCTGCAAGCCACCACTTGCTCTGTCCTCGTTTTGTGAATGAGAGCTTGGCCCTAAGAGTTGAACCGGCTAGAAAACTACAATCTTTCGCTCACTGGGGTTTACGAATCGTCTCACTGACACGACTTATCTAAAGTATATTCACGGTCATTTTCCTTGCCAGCTGCAACATCAGTCAGCTCTCTGCTGAGTCCTGAAAGAAGTGCAGCTGCATTAGCAGAGTCAC